ATGTCCTTGCTTTCATTTACCAATGTCATTGCTTTCATTTACCAATGTCATTGCTTTCATTTACCAATGTCATTGCTTTCATTTACCAATGTCATTGCTTTCATTTACCAATGTCATTGCTTTCATTTACCAATGTCATTGCTTTCATTTACCAATGTCATTGCTTTCATTTACCAATGTCATTGCTTTCATTTACCAATGTCATTGCTTTCATTTACCAATGTCATTGCTTTCATTTACCAATGTCATTGCTTTCATTTACCAATGTCATTGCTTTCATTTACCAATGTCCAACGAAAGTAAATGGTTACAGTAACGAAAGTAAATGGTTACAGATTGCTTTCATTTACCAATGTCATTGCTTTCATTTACCAATGTCATTGCTTTCATTTACCAATGTCATTGCTTTCATTTACCAATGTCATTGCTTTCATTTACCAATGTCATTGCTTTCATTTACCAATGTCATTGCTTTCATTTACCAATGTCATTGCTTTCATTTACCAATGTCATTGCTTTCATTTACCAATGTCATTGCTTTCATTTACCAATGTCCTTGCTTTCATTTACCAATGTCATTGCTTTCATTTACCAATGTCCTTGCTTTCATTTACCAATGTCATTGCTTTCATTTACCAATGTCATTGCTTTCATTTACCAATGTTTTTACCTTTATTTGATTGACAGGGAGACTTGAAACAATTCCTCCTGGCAACAAGGGGGGACAATGGCCGCCGTGCGATGGCACCCAGAGTTCCTCCCCTTTCGTCAATCCAAAAGCTGAAGATGTGCCAACAGGCGGCCCTGGGCATGGAGTACCTGGCAGGTTACAAGTTCATTCACCGGGACCTGGCAGCTAGAAATGTCCTCTTGACATCACGACTGGACCTCAAAGTAAGCCCTTCAGCCCCTTCACCACCACATTGTGGTACTTTTATTTACTTTAAAGTGGCCATTCATTAAGACCACCACATTGTGGTACTTTTATTTACTTTAAAGTGGCCATTCATTAAGTTAAATAACTAAAAATAAGCTCTTAACTTACTTTGATCAAGCAAACAATGGATGAGTTCAAATATCATTAAATATATTATAAAATATTTTTCAAGGAAACTCCAGCCCCCATAAAAATTATAATAAATTAAAACGCTTTATTTTTAAAAAATTATTTTCTCTCATGCAGGTGTGCAGTTTATCTCTATGCAGAGATGTGTACGCCAGCGAATATTTCCTGCATCCAGCCAAACAGACCCTGGTGCCACTTAGGTGGCAGCCCCCGGAGGCCCTGCGTGACTCTGAGTTTAGTTTCCACACCGATATCTGGTCTTACGGTGTTTTCATGTGGGAGGTCTTCCACCTGGGTGACCTCCCTTACCGCCTGCACAGCGATGATGAAATTTTCAGATCCATGTGCGGGGCGGGCACGACAACCAACATGCTGCCACGTTTAGACTTTTCCGAAGGGTGTCCGAGTCAGATGGTGGACATTGTCCATCAGTGCTGCATGATGCCGTCCTCCAGCAGGCCCACCTTCTCTGACCTCGTGGTTACGCTGGGTCACCTATTGACTAATGGAGACTGTGTCTGATGACCGAGAGACCTGACTTAAGTCAGATACAGACGTGTTTGATTGCCATCGTCCTGAAGAAAACTAGAAACAATTTACGATTTTTGTGATCATCGGGAGGGAGGCCCATCGGTGGAACACGTGATGGGTTTATTTAAAACTCTGGAGTCATTCAGTCTGCAGTATTGAAACCACACTCAGTGACTACACAGATGGGCTCAATTCATTAGGTTTGCAGTATTTAATTAAAACCACTGCATTCCTGGGAACCAGTCATCATTCACATTAAAATACTTGAAGACATTACAAACACTGTCAACTGCTGCAGAGAGATTTGCGCAGCAGACGGGAACTTTCTCAGATGCTAATGACATCCACCGGACGACATTGGTCATCTCGAAGAAACATGGCAATAATATTAGGTGCAAACATCACATGACTTGCGTAAACATCACATGACTTGCATAGACATCACATGACTTGTGTATACATCACATGAATTGGGTTTCAACAGTACATAATTTATACACAGTCCCCTAGGAGCCCAAATGTAAATAACTTAACTGGACATAATGTTTATGTAGCTAATTACTATTATTATTATTATTATTATAACTATTATTATCATCACCATCTTTCATTAGCACCTGTTTTGCTGTACACATCACTTTTAACGTACTATTTAAATTGATCCATGCATTACTGCGCACTATGTGAGACTTGATCCGTTCTTGGCATTCTAATCTATGACTTTCTTCTTGAGTAAAATGGAAAAAGTTGTGGATTTCGATAATCTCCTGGATGATCCATACATTTAGATGATCCAGTGGATATGCTTAAGGATATTTATGTTTATTTATGAGTGCGTTTATTCTGAAAATAAAATAAAAATTATTATGTGGATAAGGATATGTGTGAAAGAAAAGAATGGATTCAATTAGATGAGGGTGTCACACACAACAATTTTTAATGTAGTGTGATAGCTCAGTGGCGTAGCTAGGGTGCGGTCCCCATCCCCCCATCTATGCCACTGTGATCGCTCGTGTCTTCTGAAATGTATTCTTGACGCATTTCGTGGTGTTGTCCTTGTACTGTTTCTGCTTTTGATAAATTATTAAATTAATGAATGATAGAATAATGTTCTTTTTGTTAGGATTGTGATCAGATGGCCTAGTTAACTAGTTTTGTTTGTGAGAAGTTAGGAAATACTTCAAACCACATTGTGAAAATTTAAGAAATACTTCAAAGTGAACATTGTGAGAAGTTAGGAAATACTTATAATTGCACATTTTTGTGAGAAGTTAGGAAATACTTCAAACTGAAAATTGTATGTTAGAAGTTAGGAAATATTCAAAATGAAAATATACCTTGCAATTGCTCTACTTACAAACCATTACCTGTTGATATGACAATCTTTTTTCCTGTTCTCTTTTGAATTTGGTCACAAATGACATCTGTCATCATATTTCACAACTGACATCTGTCTTCATATTTCACAACTGACATCTGTCACCATATTTCAATAAAATGGCGATTTTTAAGTGAGAATCGATTTTGTTCTATGACCACAATCATTGCTTTAGATAAAATGTTCTCTTTGAGATAAGTTTCTGGGCCACCTTGTCCAGTAGACCCCAATCATTGCTTTAGATAAAATGTTCTCTTTGAGATAAGTTTCTGGGCCACCTTGTCCAGTAGACCCCAATCATTGCTTTAGATAAAATGTTCTCTTTGAGATAAGTTTCTGGGCCACCTTGTCCAGTAGACCCCAATCATTGCTTTAGATAAAATGTTCTCTTTGAGATAAGTTTCTGGGCCACCTTGTCCAGTAGACCCCAATCATTGCTTTAGATAAAATGTTCTCTTTGAGATAAGTTTCTGGGCCACCTTGTCCAGTAGACCCCCAATCATTGCTTTAGATAAAATGTTCTCTTTGAGATAAGTTTCTTGGCCACCTTGTCCAGTAGACCACAATCATTGCTTTAGATAAAATGTTCTCTTTGAGTTAAGTTTCTAGGCCACCTTGTCCAGTAGACCCCAATCATTGCTTTAGATAAAATGTTCTCTTTGAGATAAGTTTCTGGGCCACCTTGTCCAGTAGACCACAATCATTGCTTTAGATAAAATGTTCTCTTTGAGATAAGTTTCTGGGCCACCTTGTCAAGTAGACCACAATCATTGCTTTAGATAAAATGTTATCTTTGAGATAGGTTTCTGGGCCACCTTGTCCAGTAGACCACAATCATTGCTTTAGATAAAATGTTCTCTTTGAGATAAGTTTCTGGGCCACCTTGTCCAGTAGACTTTGTTACATTAAAATAATGCTTGAACAACAAGAAGAAAAAGAACTAAGTAGAAAAGAATGTATTCTTATTTACAACTGAGTATTGCCTCAACTTGTGATCAGTGAATGCGACCATGTTTCTTGTTGGACTTAAATAAATACGAGCAAGTGATGTTACTGGACGCTCCGTCAGCCATTTCTTGTTATTGTTTGGCGTCACATGATTTGTAAACATTTTTTTTGTTGGCTTTTCCGTGCATCTTTAAGTTATTTATGTAATGTCCCAACTTCCATATGTCAAAAGTATGGTTCATTTTCATGGTTTTCTTGCGATACACTTGTATAGTTGGATTGTTGAACAAGATGATAGACACTTTCTTAGCCGTACCATGACGTATGGGCTTGGCTGGGGGGGGGGGGGGGGGGGGGGGGGGGGAAGATGTCCAGTGTTGGTCAATGGGGAGATTAGGTCATGTTTGATCAATTGGGAGACAAGGTACGTTATTGGTCAATGGGGAGATTATGTCATGTTTGGGCAATAGGGAGACAAGGTACATTGTTGGTCAATGGGGGAGACTAGGTCATGTTTGGTCAATTGGGAGACAAGGTCCAGTGTTGGTCAATGGGGGAGATTAGTTTATGTTTGGTCAGTGCAGAAGCAACAGCCTGAGAGGTCAGAAAAAGCAGCTTTTATCATTAACTGAATCCTTCTTTTAATCATCCTTGGGTTACTTAAGAACACTTCGATAGAATTTCGCAAAAATGTTTTGCTAAATTCTGACAGAGCTAAAACTCTCCAGGGTCCCTAATGTTACCTGATGTTGTTGATTTTTTTTATAAATCTGATCAAGTCATGAAGACATCAATTTATCAGGAATGTATTTTTACCTTTGTGGGTTTTTTTTGTATGTTTCCTGCCAGATTTCAGGGCATTTTGTGTCCATTTGTAAACATGTTGGCTTTTGTGTGTTAACATCTTGGCAATACAAATAATTCATGGTAATGAATGATAACCATCACCTGCCAGTTAAACTATCACCTGCCAGTTAGACCATCACCTGTCAGTTAAAACAGAATGTGAATAAAGGGTCATAAATAAAATCCTTAATTAAGGTTATATAAATATTGGGTTTCCTTATTTCAGGGGTCTTGTAATGTTTTGTTCCCAGAACCCCTTATCCAGTCAGATAACGGCCAGGAACCCGCTTCCGTGAATAAAGTTTTTAAATGCATCTTACGCAATTACAACGTAGATATAGCTGACCCCTGTCACACTTTACAAACCTCCATTGGGTCGTTGGGCTACACGTTTAGGACCACTGCTTCAGACTGAGTTTGGCTTTGTCACTAAGTAAATATGTCACAAATCATATTTTCTTGTTGCTTCATTTTTAAATGTTGTTGATACCATTACGCGTTTTTTCACATAAATATTTTTTCTCTCCATGTGACTGTCCCTATCAAAAAGATAATAAATAATTAAAGTAATAATTTAAAGCTAAAAACAACTTGACTCTAAATACAAAAGATGTAGATGTTTTGTAATGTTAAGTTGCTGCCAGTGGCATGGCAAGAGTAAGTGTCCCCTGGGCGGGCTCCACTTCCTTGACAAAACTTTGAGCATTATTTTTTTAAAATAAATTCTCTCTAATTAAAATACAATATCAAATTTACTAGAATAGAATTTTTATTTTTGTTAACCATGAAATAAATAACACAAACATCAAAGATTACAACAAAAATAATCATTTTATGCAATAAAATAATCATAGATGGAAAAGTATCTCCCATCTTTGACATAGGTAATTTTTTTTTTAATTAATGTTTGAGGATTGAAAACTGTGCTAACTTTGCATCACTTGTGTAGATAGGGTCATTTTTAACATGAGATGGGTGCATTTTTTTTTTAAATTTCTCAAATTTGAGAACCATTCATTTCCACTTGACAAGTACTACATGTCTATCACCCAACTATTTTGTTGATGGGGTTCAAACAGACCTGTGTAGATGTGCACATATGTGATTATAAGAACAATTAAAAGACTGAATCAGCATCCTGACTTGTGTGGCTTTTTTAAAATTTATTTTGTTTGTTGGTTTTTAGAAAATATTCGTAATATTTTTAAGACATTACAAAACACACCGCTTGAGTTTCTTCGTGGATAATCCAATTTTTAAATATTATAAATAATGTATATGACACACGGAGGGTAGGGGGCATAAGAATTTAGAAAGGCTTAGGTGGGGCATGGCCCAAAAAAGGTTGGGAAACACTGGTCTAAAACATCACTAGTACATACATGATACATTAAACCTGTCACCATTGAACGGAAGTGGGGCTGGTTATTTTTAGGGTGCAGATGTGCACAACTAAATGACTAAAAGGATATCAAATGTGAGTACATTTAAATTTTAACACTAAATATTTGGCTGTTAAATAAATAATAGGCACACCAGTCTACTTGCTCAAGTTATGTGATAACTTCTAAGGGACATTAAAGCTTTTAATAGGGCTTACCTAAGTCTAAATAAGGCATGGGCACATCATGAAAGTTTAGGAGCCATATCAACAAACCGTACATATACGTAATAACCGTACATATTGTATTTGTAAATGCATTGCTAGTTATATCCTAATATTGGAAGAACGATTCTCATAGGAATCAAGAGACGTGCATCGATTGGAACCACGGGTGCCCAGAGCTAACGTCCCACTTTTCCAAGCCTGCTGTCAGTCTTGGGGTTAGCCGTGATCTCTTGAACTTTAACAATGGCGGTGTTGATCTTGGTCTGCAGGTCCCGTAGATCGTGTAAATGTAGGAGGCGCAGTATCTTGGCAGTTTCTGTCATTATGATGTCTGTGCAAAAGTAATAAAGCAAAACTGTATTTTAAAATATTTCAGGGTTAAAACGGAGGTGAGAGATGAGTTGTCCAGTATACCAGGCCCCGACCCCCACTTCTCAAATTATTCTTAACTACACACATATACCAGGCCCCGACCCCCACTTCTCAAATTATTCTTAGCTACACACATATACCAGGCCCCGACCCCCACTTCTCAAATTATTCTTAGCTACACACATATACCAGGCCCCGACCCCCACTTCTCAAATTATTCTTAACTACACACATTTTAAAATAAATGATGGCATTTTTATTTTTTTTTACTGAAAGTTAGTAAATCCCTTCCCAGACGATGCATCAAAGACACATTCAATTTTTTTTAATTGAACAGAAGAATGAGATTTAAAAGGCAAAATACGTCCAACACGCCTGCATTGATGAAACAAAATCATATTGGCACAAGAGAGCCTGAATACTGAATAAAAAGCAGAGCAGAGAAAAAGGTGCATGTCTCTTACAAGCAAGCAGAAGAGAGGAGCAGAAAGAAGGGAATAGGCTGACGGCACGGAGTATAACCAAGCTGGAAACGAAGCAGCAGCTCTGTCATATTGTCAATTTGGTTTATGCTGTATGAAGGAGCTTAACTATAACTGCCAAGAATAATTTTTCTATAGCGGTCAAGCCATTTTTAGCAATTTTATATGCTTGTCGAAAACAACAAAACTCCCGGACTAAATGAATTCAGAGAACCTTACAAGGAGACATTTTCTGATAGTACATTTAACAAGATATATTATCATATGAAAAGAATTTGTTTATATATTAATATGTATGTTGATATTGACTTTGACCTCTACAGAGTGAGTAAAATTTTACTACTCAAATCCTGAATTCAACATAGGCTAAATACTCCATAAATTGTTCAGACTTATAATAAAATCAAAGTTTTTGATATGCTGGAAGCAATGTTATTTCAGAAAATGACAATTTATGTTTACTTATATGGAAAATTGGGATATTGGTGAATTTTTTCATTCACTGCCTTCAAATTTTTGTCATACAAAATATAAGAGGGAAGGCACAAAATGGTTTCAAAAATTCCTTTCCATTTTAAGTTATTAAATCCATTTTTTGTATTAATAAACATTCCAGAACATATAAAAACATAGATATCTTTGGGTTCATATCTGTGTCTTTTTCTGTTCAATTTCCACCCTTTCCCAAACGAATTAGTCGGTAACAATATGACTAAGCTTAGGGATAAAATTGTCAATATCTGACTCATAATACTCATATCTCGACATCACTGCTAGAGCCTATGCTGTCATTACTCTGATATCTTTGCTTTCATTTTAATATATTTTAAATAATTCCAATAAAGAATTCTGTGTAGTGTTAATTTTGAAATCCCAAAGGGGGGCCCTCTCCGGCATCAGACAACATGGTGGTGAAAAAATCTGAGAAAATTTTGCATGTAAACACACTAATACTAATAGTATCAGAAATAGGATCCAAACTCACTTATTTATAGAGTGAATTCCCTTTAAACAATATACATTAAATCAATACACATTTTTAATGATGATTTTGCTAACGGCTGACGATCGACCGTTATGACAGTTATAGGGTTAAGTACCAAATCTGTAAATCGATTTGCTCTTCATTACAAATTATATCCTGTGTGCTCTAAGCCAAAAGTACACCAGTCAATGTAGTATCCTATTCACTGGGCCAGTGTGTCCATTTCACACAAGCTGTTTTCTGATATGCTCTTCTACTCATACTAATGGTATCTAGAGTTTATTAACAGCTGGTCATCTTGAAAATTGTAAGAATAATTAAATGTTAAAGTGAGATAGTGCATTGAATACTAACCACCGGCGTCAAAGCCAAGCTCAGTTTTATCTAGGGGAATGAATTCATCCTGAAAATAAAAGAGAGAAAGTTTTAGGGTAACAGAGAGAGCTGGCTCACTAAAGAAAAGAAAAACAATTAGTTTTCTCTTTAAGAAAGAGTTGGGAGTGCCTATCTACTTATATTATCCTGTCTTACAAATAGGTTGTACTTGGTGAGAATTTCAAAAACTATTTTCAAAAAATTCTACATACCATAGGTTATGATAGGATATTGATTAATTTGCTGGGAAAGTCTAGTAATTTTGTTTGTAACATTTATACTTGTGACCAGAGTAGGGCACCGTAGCATCACAAACACGTAAGTCACAGTCGACTCAGATTTGTATACCTCTTGGAAATAAAACAAGGCTTCTGATAGTTGGCTTTATACAGTAATTATAAACAGCAAATGCAATCTACTTGCCCCAATGAAAAAAAATAAGTCAGGCTTTCAAAATTATGGAATATGAATAGTGTTAATATGTGTCCCTAGATAACTTATTTTGTTTTCCAAATACTTCACAAAGGTGTATCAGAGAAAGGTGTATCGGATAAAGGTGTATCAGAAGCTTTTGGCCGACATAAATACAGAATAACACAAGTAAGCATTAAAATTTTGTTTGATATTTTTTAAAGCTAATGACAACTTTTGTCCATGTTACACCTCTAAAAGTTTACTCAATGACTTGGTGTGCACACCAGCACCTGATTCGAGGCAGCAATAGTCAAATTAAACAAGAAACTGTTTTGTGCCAAACACCAAAATGTCTTAATAAAGTAGACGATGTTATGAGACTCCAAGTCTTCATAGTGGGATTCTCTACAGCAGTCTGCAGCTGTAAAGAGACTTACTTTTTCTTTATTTAATTGTTCAGTAGACTTTTTTGCAGCCGCCATTGATTCCAGAGAAAATCTTTCTTCTATGACTGTACAGATGGCCTGAAATATAGATACACTAAAAATTATTCCCAAATTTTATACCAAAAAAAAAGAATAAAGAAAATATTGATTTAAATTTCCTATTACCCGTAAAAGGAATTTTAATTTGTAAAAAAATTGCATGCCTGTTTATTAAATCTTTTTTCAAATACATCAAATTTCAGGAAAAATTTCAGCACTAAGAAGGATATAATGATTTCTACAAATATCAAAACTGTCTAAGAACATTTCTTTCCAGGAAATATTAGTTATCTTAACTTAAAAGAATTTATTATTTTAATTTTTAAAATGTGTTTAATGACAATCATTCAAGTTATTTTCTATATAAAATACCATTGCAGTCCCAAACAAATAAGAATAACTTAATCATAATTGTTTCAAATCCAAAAAAAGTGTATATTGCTATCACGTAAGAATTGAACCCAATAAAAAAAAATTCTTTGAATAATTCATCAATTATAAACTATTTAATCATAAAAAAATTTCAGACATTTAAAAAAATTCCATTTAACTCAATCCCGACGGTTGCAAATAAATGTGTTCATTGGTAGGGGTTCCGATGGATGCGCCCCGGGATAGCGACATACCTCTCTAATTTTTATTTAAAAATAGCAATGAACTCTAGCATCCCTCAAAGACTTCTGGCGATGACATGATTCTTTGTGATTTCAATTTCAAAACCACAAGTTTTTACCTTGTTTCACTTTCAATAGATGTGCTTTAGTATGTTGTGTCTATATCTAGCATGTGTTCATCCGAGGTGCCAAAAGTAGATTATTTTGGACATTGTTAATTATTTTTCGCAGTTAATGTTATTTTTTAATTAAACCTTATTCATATTCATTTGTGGATGCATTTATCCGTAATTCATTAAGATTAATTAATATTTAGCAGCTTTAGAAATATTTTTAAAATGTAAATCAATTGCAAAATGTAGTGACTTCCTTTTCTGAGCCAATAAATTAAGTATGGAAGTGGCACTGCCGTCAGGAATGAGTTAAAAAAACAACAACAGCATAGACCAAATCTAATCCACAGTAGTGTGAATTTCCCATGTCAATCTCTGTAATCACCTTCAACACCTCTAAGTGATCTTGGTATGGGGGTATCTGGAGCATCATTGCCAATGATGTGATGCCAGCTCTGAACTCAGGACTGTTAACTGAAAGATGAAGTGTCTCTCTCTGATATATAAGTCTTTGTAAATAATATGAGAACAGAAAAAACATTTGGCTCAGGGACAAGCCTGCTTATGTTATATGTATCATCAGCCAATGTCCTTTTTTTTTTTTAGACAAATGAAGTTATATAAAAAACTCAAGTATACAAATGTTAAGCCATAAAAGTAAATAAATATAAACTTCAAGGCTCATTTTTAATCAAACTCACAGTCAAGGTTGTCTAGCGGATTACTGGAAGCTCCGGCTTGCTTGGTTTTAAGCTCTTGGAATTTCTCCGGGGTAACATTTTTATATTTGTCAACTGAAGAAAGAATAAAAACATAATTAGGAATGATTTAAAAGTTTTCATCAAATAAAAACATTTTACAGCAAACTTTTTTGGGGGTAAAATTCAAACCCCAAAAATGTGGTTCCTAATACACCATTTAAATAAATATATGACTGATTGATCATTTTTTACATGTAGTGTGGGAAGATGGGTCACAAGCTACCAAGGGGTGGAACAGTATTGTTGCTATTAGGGAAAAAAATATTTAATATTTTACAAAGAGATCATAACTTGGAATCCATTGATCCTTTGGGGGATCCATATATATTTCAGGGAATCCCTTAAAAAATCAATTAGTATATTGTTACTGTACTCACAACAAAAATGTAATATATTCAGGGGCTGATAAATTAAGTCTAAATTAGGTACAAAAGGGTTAAGAATCCCATGTATAATAAAAGTTGATGACCTCCATCTCCATACTCCAGTCTAACAGCATATCCTAGAAGCCAGTCTGTTACAGCTTGCCTCTCAGTTGAGTTGTAAGGACAGTTCAGTCCAATCAGATACTGAAACAGAAGGTTTTAAACTTACCCTGACATTTGCTTAATTAAGAGAAGAGCTCGCTTACAATTTACCATTACAATAAAATGTTTTAATAATAAAAAAGTAGCTAAAGAATACTAGGTATGAGGAAGCTTGAAATATAAAGACAGGGCAATAAAAGAAGAACATTTAGGCTAAGACAGGACAGGTGAAGAAACAACAAAAACTTAAGTGTGCACCGTTAATACTATTGGCGGAAGTACATTTATGGCAAACAGTTACATTTTTGAACTACTTTCTATTTCTACTTTCTTCCTTTTTCCTGAGGAAGGGTCTTCTTTTATTGTCCTGTCTTTATATTTCAAGCTTCCACATAGCTTGTTTAACCATTTCCTTCACTTAGCTTGAACGCAGTCCTTCATTATTAAAAAAAGCTTTTCTGTTTTCATAAAGCACTGCTTAATGACTAAAAAAAAAATTATATTTTATTGAAGGCTAATTATCTAAGATTTCCACTGCCATAAGAAACAAACAACAAAACAAGAGACTTACTGTTTGTAAGACTTTTAGCCATTCTTCACCCTGTAAATTCCTCAGTGGGTCTCTGTCTTCAATTTTCAGATGTCTGATTTTCTGATCCTCCAGCCACACGACTAGAGAACGGAACTTCTGATCATCTGAAAAAAAATTAATGATTCCATTTAAGAGAGATAATAAATTACTGAATGACTTTGATAGCCGGGCACAGCTTTTTAAACTTTAGTTATACATTTACCATAATTACATCATATTACATTAAAATGTTCAACACATTCACCAAGGTGAATAGGCCTATACAATTGTCAGTAGCCTTAAGTGTCCTCTTGTTAGTCAATTATGATAGTTTTAGACAAAAAAATATACTAGCCAAAAAATTGTGCAATTTTCAATGCAGCCTGTGATGAAAAATGTGAGTTTTTAATAAAAAAATTAATATATCATAAATTATGCTAATTGAAAAAAAAAGACCTAAATTTACTAAATTATAATTAAATCATTTAGTCTATCAATTGAAGGGAACGGCTATCTTAGTTCATTCAATTAGAAATTTGTATCTACTGAACCAATCCTTATGCTGCAGTGCTCCTAGGCTTTTACTCGCTGGGCTTATTAGGCCTACTTATAGTTTTAGTTATTCACAGACCTGTTTACCCTCAAACTCTTAAAATCGTACAAAATCATCACAAAATCTTTCAATACATTATCTTAGTAGTAAAAAAAAAAACATGCAGTATATATAATGTATACACCTGAAAATCGTACATTGTACGCCAAAATCGTGAGAGTAAACAGGTCTGTATTCATAGTAAACATAACATGATAGGCTGATAATGATGCCTCATAGTCATAGGATACTCAGCTAGTGATAGGCCTACTAATTAGGCTAATAATAGTAATAATAGAGCTTTAGTATACTTTGTTAGTATTTTACGCATGCCTAATTAAATTAATTAAGTATTTAATTTAGACTTTAGATAAACGATTACAGTGGAACCTCTCATAACGAGCATAAGTCGTTCCTGAATCCTACTCATTAAGCGAAACACTCGTTAAACAAAACAATTTTTCCCATACAAATCAATGTAAAATACGATAATGCGTTCCATGCTAAAAAAATACTTATTTTTCAAAATTTTTTATTAAGATTTATTCAAATAAAATTACTTATGAATTTTTAAGGAGTACCTCGAGTCCAATGATATTGGCCAATGACACAATCACGTTAACTGTAGACTCCACAGGTTCTGTTTCAAAATCAAATTCAAAGTCCCGGCTCACAAATGAATGTTGGGAAAAAGGGATTTCCCCCTTCTGCGTAACTCGTTATGCAAAATGTCGCTCGTTAAGGGAGCAACTTCTTCACATTTTTTTTTTGCTCGTTATGCAAATTACTTGTTATGAGAGTTGCTCGTTATGAGAAGTTCCAATTTATTTAATTAAATTAACCTTTTATTTCATATGAAGAGTCTATTTTCAAAATGCTGTATCTCCATTTTTGGCGTTTTGAGATAATAGACTTTTTCTGCTACACAATGATGGCTCAAATTTTAAGAAAAATAAATGTTAATTTAGGTATATATTCAAAATATAAGTTATATTATGATGAAAATTGAAATGTAGGTTAATTAAAATTTATTTATTTACTTGGTTGAATTTCTTATTTCGTTTCAAAATAATGTGTATCCAGCTGTAAATAAGCGACAAAATGCTGTATATCCATTTTGATAGCATAACATTATTCCCAGTAGCAAATAATTCAAGTTGTTCAAACCACTTACATAACAACATAAAATAAAATTGTATCATATACATTATATAATTGTGTATGATTAATGTTTTTTATTGATATATTTTAACAGAACAGTACTATAAATGCAGGGAAGTCGCTTGTAATAGTGTAATGTTTAGAGTGCTATAAGTTCGCATAATTTGTTTTTATAAATCTGCATTCTAAACAAAAGAAAACAAGATAATGGTCAATTCAAAAATCATTTTATTTGAATTTAGAACAACAACACAATAGAAAATAATGAAGTGTCTGATTCAGAGTGTGCATCACCTTCAATAGCAGTTTGGTTTTGTTCCAGGAAAAGTTGATGCTTCTTATTTGCATTCAAATCAGAGTGCAAATATGTCTGTCCTTGGGCCCCCTTTCTTTTGTAATGGCTGGATCTGCATGTGAAATGATTGAATGTGTAATAAATAACACAGCAAACTCTGTAAAGCAACTTTTTACTTTCATTTCCTTAACACTTCTGATGTGTAGTAACCATAACCATAATAATAATAATGTGAAATGAAATTTAGTGTTTTTTAAATAAAGTTACCGGTAACTCACCTTGCAGAACCATTTATTGTGATTACACGTAACCGAGGGGATCTTTCCTCCGCTTGAATGAAGAAATGATTTTTGTTTTTCTCTTGTTGAGCTTTTTGTCGTTCTTTTTCGAGATTTTATAGTACAAACAACTCTTTCATTCAGGCAGCCGTTATGCACCGTGTTTGTTGTTGTTTCGCGTTGATATGTTAGTGCGCATGCGCAGAATGCCACAGAATAGCTTGCCAATCACACGGATTGGTCCGAAAATATATACAACATTTTGATAATAAAAAAAAAAATTCATACCGCGTTTTGAAAATAAAATCATTTTTAGATATAGAATAATATAGAATTAAAATGTGTTATGTAGATAAACTTTAACATGTCCTAAATGAGCCTGGTTTGCTCTACAAGAATATACAGTTATCTAATTTTTTTCTAAAATGGCAGATACAGCGTTTTGAAAATTGACTCCTCATATTCAATAAATTAATTTATAATTGAAATAAACAGTTATATAGGCCTAAATTAAATTGAATTCATCATATCATAATATATGATAAACTGGGATCACGAATTGTATGGACTAGCAGCGAAAAAAAAAGGCAGGCTGCATTGGGCAGGACGCTAAGAACGAATGCCAAATGACAGAAGAGTGTACAGGGTGCATCACCAAAATCCCATAGGAAAGTGGCTCAACATCAAAGGCAGATCTAGGCTTAGACTTGATTAGATGATGTGGAAAAAATTCTACACTGCATGGGAAAGAAAAGCATAAGTTAGGTCTGCTGCTGAGTCAACTGAATACGAGTGGAAGGAAGTGGTGAGGCAGGCTGAATTGGCCTGTAGTACAACAGGGATGGATGGATTAAATTACTATTAATAGCCCATTAGGAGGCATTTAGTCTATGTCTAGGCAGTGGCGTACAAAATTATACTTAACTTAAACTTAATTCAATATTGAGACTATTTGTATTTACCATACTATACTGAACTGTAACTCACTAACTATACTGTAACTGTAAGTAATTTGTCACTATACCGGTAATTAATAATATTATTATAATAAATTATACTTGTTACTAATATATTATTCAATCATGATTATAGTATACTTAATAATTTATATATTTACAAGACAATGTTACAAACTTAACATCAGGCGGCTGTTCTCCCTAAGCTACTCTATGCCTGCCTGTGAAACATGGACGGTATACCAACGCCATGCAAAATTGCTGAACCACTTCCATCCAACAAGACTCAGAAAAATACTCAACATTAAATGGCAGGACAGAAGCCCAGACACTGAGGTGCTCACAAAGGCAGGTCTCCCCAGCATCTTTAAAATACTAATGAAGTCCTGTTATCTTATTTCAAGCTTCCACATACCTCGTTTCACTATTTCATTCATTTACTAAGCTTGAAAGCAGTCCTTTCATTTATTTCTTAATGAAGTCCCAGCTTCGCTGGGCGGGACATGTTGTGAGAATGTCAGACGAATGTCAGACGACCATCTGCCCAAAAGAATTTTCTAAGGTGAGCTTGAACAAGCAAAGCGCTCTGCTGGCGGGCAGAAACGTTTTAAAGACAATCTAAAAGCCTCACTGAAAACGTTCGACATAAACCCAGACATCAACATAAACCCAGACACGGGGGAGGGAAAAGCGAAGGATCGAACATCATGGTTTTCCACTTTACACAGGAGCTCCAACTCCATGCAACATGAAGTTGGCTGCGGCCAGAGGAAGGCCCAGTCTGACTCTGCTCCTGGAGATGCCCCATCATTCCCCTGCACCTACTGCACAAGAAAATTCCGTGCCAGAATCTACCTCATTAGCCATCTGCGCACCCACGCCCACAGACATAACTAGCACCACGAATCTGATGATTAAAAAATTAAAATAAATTAAATAAAGTGGTCATGATGGTCCACTCCCGAAAAAGAACAACAACAAACCTTTTATGTCTACAATGTCTGCATCGGGAAAATCGAGGGCAAGTAATTTTCTTTTGAACATCGAGGTGATTTAGTCAATTAATATATTAATAATAATAAGCCCTAACACCTAAAGCCTAAAACGCACAACAATAAAAAAAAATACGTCGCGTTCAGCGTGGACAAAAACTCCTGCATTACGTTTCTTAGTTGAATGTAAAACCTTGATAGTTAAATAAACCGAAACGAAACCGTCTTCTGTGGTAGCGGTACCCTGTAAACTTTAACGGTACCACATTCTCATACCCGGCGCAAGCAAGCTAGCTCAATCTAGCTAAATACTAGCCTATGCCTGTTTATTTCATTTCTTGAAAACAAAATGATTGTCGTTAACCATTTAAAACGTAGTTAGATTTCCTTTATTTGTTGTTCATTGTTAAGTTTCTTTTAACTTTTTAAGTGACAGTAAAAAAAATAACTGAAAGGCGTGGTTTGGGCCCAGGTTGGGGGGGGGGGGGTGTTTAAGTCTAAGATTCTTATAGTAAAAGCATGAGGTCTTGCCTTGTTTTTAACTACCGTATTTCTCTGGTAGTGTAATGGTAGTTTAGGGTTAGGCCTAAATTGAGTTTTACCTGGCTGTACTGTAGTAGGCCTGCTTGTGGTTTTGTTGCAGGCACTATTCAATAATATAAGTTAAGGAAATTCTCTGTTAGGTTCATTTACTGCATTTAGTCTAAGATTTACGTGCGTTTTATTATGAGTTTCAAACAAACGCTGAGACTGAGTATTACAGCTACTTTTGCTTTTATAGATACCGGGTACACGCCACGGTGTTACCCGCTAACAGTGACCATGCAAAACTACGTAAAGTAGGTCATGTAGAAAAAAAATAGCGGGCCTCTTAGACTCAGTCATTCTCTCCTTTTTTTGATTAATGAATATAATCTGTTTACATTAAGATTGTGGACTAAAGTGTCCAAAGTAAACCCAAAGGTTGAGTTTTCAAGGGTAATGTAGTCTGAGCGTAAATTCGGATGGCTAGGACTAGGAGTATTACATAGTCATAGTTTGTCATAAGAATTTTTTTAGCTCACTAGTTATTTTTAGTACTCTCCATCGCCATGGCATTATAATATTTTAATTATTATGTTTTTCTTTTGCAGAACTAGCCTACATCTGTAACTAAGTTTTCACGACATATAGCCACTGCTACTACACTAATGAGTATTGTAATTTGTACTGTTAATTAGTGGTATCGTGCACGATCAGTGCACTAAAATTTTAACTATAACTGTAATATACCTCGGCCTTGACTGAAAATGTCTGAAATATTGGATGCTATCAAAATGTGGCTGGTAGCCCTATTGTATGGTTTTATTTCGATACTCAACATTGTGAAGAGCTGCTTTACTAAAGGTTTCCGACAAGTTTTATCATGGAAGAAAAGGGAAAGGCCGTCTTGTTTGGATGCTCCTGATTTTGGTACTCATGGATTCTTAAAAATCTCAGAGGTATTCTATGTCATCAGCTTAAAACTTTCTTATTTTTAAAAAAAAATACCTTCCCCACAACATGATGGCATGGTGAATGAGCTTGCTTTATTATTATTATTGAAATGCTATTTAAAATTTAGGCCCATTAATTATTAATATGAGTATGAGGTACAGAGGCGTAGCGAGGGGGGGGGGACAGATGTCCCCGGGCAAGCTAGTTAGGGGCGCCAAAATGTGCTTTGATTTTATATTATTGGTAAAAATAATGGGTTTGAGAGTTGAAAAAAAGAAAAGGGGGCGCTTTAAAATGGATCTTGTCCCCGGGCGCAAATCTTGTCCCCGGGCGCCAAACACCCTCTCTACGCCTCTGATGAGGTAGAATGTTCATTAATGAACATTAAGATAAGAAGAACTATGGTAGTATGCATTATTTTGTAATATTCATTTTAATTTTATTAATATTAGCCAAAGCCACCAATGAGTCAGATTACAAAACAACATATTTTCTTTCTTGATACTGGAAAATACAGTTTTATCAGGAGATACAAATTCATTTTGTGACCCAAAGATTGTTTCTAGAAAACGATTTGGTTTCATATGTTAAATGTGATCCTTTTTTTTTCTCATCAGGACATACAAATTCATTATGTGGCAAGTGGACCTGAAGACAAGCCACTTATGCTGTTTGTTCATGGTTTTCCGGAGTTTTGGTACTCATGGAGACATCAGATCAAAGAGTTTCAGAAAGACTACAGGTGAAGCATGAGATACTATTATTAGTGGCATTTTTATACAACCAGTGGCAGGGGGGGGGGGGCGCCCCGGGGGGAATTTTATTATTATATGGGGGGGCAGCATTTTGGGTAAAAAGCTACGTTTTTCCCTTGGGAAGGGGGCAGAAAAAATCTTAGCTCTCCCCAGGCAGCATGAACTGTAGCTATACCCGTTGCATACGAATACAACTGTTGTGAAAAATGTTTTTGCCTCCTAAACTTTTATTGTTTGAAAATATTATTTTTAAGGGTACTTACAGTGATAATAATAAGACATTTAGCTAAGGTTTGACAGTAGGAAAACACCAACTTCACTGAGGCGGAAATATAGCATTGCTATTCAATAACTGTCAAAACTTAAGGGCCAAATACTTTTGATCATCTTTCAGTTATCAGTTTTGAAATATCCACCAGATGTCTTTTACAAATTTTCCTTCTCATCAATTATCTGTTTTATTTTTATCAACATTAATTGTTTATGGTCTACATTATTTGGCTTTGTGTATTTAGGGTATGATTGCTGCTGCTGTTAATATTAATAGATATGAGGTTGTAAAAAAAAAAGAAGAAAAAAAGGAACCAGTGATGATGACTCATACTATATTGAGAAGGCTAATGAGTTATCTCTTTTAGGAGGAGACATGAGTTCTCACTATGGCAGTTATGTCTTATGATAAGGAATTCTTAAACCATGAGCTCCGAGGAAACTTTAGGATACCATAATGTTTCCCTTATCCATCGGTGGCCATTTAATTCACAGCTGTCCCCTGGGATTGGGTGGGTGGGTTGATTAAGATCATTAAAAAAATATCCACATCAAACCTTTGTCCCAGATGACATTCCTATGGACCAGAATGATCAGGTTTTAGGGTGATGTCGTTCTGTAGTGAAATGTTAAAATTTCCCTGACCATGGGCGCATGGATACACAAAAAAAGCTTTGTCTGTTGTAATCATTTTAACAACAGTAGTTTTATGAACATTTTGTCAAACAGAGTTGTTGCCATAGACCAAAGAGGTTACAGTGAGTCAAGCAAACCATTGGGCATAGAAAACTACACGGTGACCAAACTCATGGCTGACCTAGCTCTGGTCATTCAAGGATTAGGTAAATAGTTTCTACCATTTAACAATAATAATAATAATAATAAGTGGTCTTATATAGCGCGGTACCCCGGCCTAGGGCTGGGCTCACCGCGCTGTACATATATAGCAAAGAGGCATAATCATAATATTAAAATAAAATACATAAATGAAATAAAAACAACATATAAGCAAAACAACACCATAGGTATATTCATCCACCCACACCAGACATTTTTACAAGGAAACCCATGTACGTTTATCGGTTTATAGGAGGAGAATCAGTCAGAGTAGTATAGTTTAAATAGATGTGTTTTGAGTGCAGTTTTGAAGGCCTGTGTGGTTGTTATATTGCGGATGTGTAGTGGCAAAGAATTCCATTGTTTGGGGGCGCAGAAAGAGAAAGATCGTTCACCATATAATTTAGTGCGTGTCTTGGGAACGGACAGAATACGCGAGTCTGCGGAGGAGCGAAGTTGTCGAAGGGGTGAATAGACAGAAAGAAGTTCAGTTAGATAGGAAGGGCAGGAATCCGAGAAAAAGTTGTGACAGAGAAGAGACAGCTTGTAGTCAATGCGTGCCTGTATAGGGAGCCAATGTAGTGAGTGGAGTAGTGGAGTGACGTGATCGCGTTTTTTTGCCTTAAGAACAAGCCTAGCAGCAGAGTTTTGAACTTTCTGCAGTTTTTCTATAAAATGTTTCGGTGAACCTGACAGAAGTGAGTTGCAATAGTCAAGACGAGAGAGAACAAGAGCACAGACTAGAGTTTTTGTTGCGCTAACTGTCAGGTAGTGGCGGATGGAGCTGATCTGACGGATGGCGGTGTATGCCGAACGACAAATGTGAGAGATATGTTTATCGAGAGACATGTTGTTAGAAAGAATATAACCAAGATTCCTAGCAGAGGGTGTAAACTGTATGTCGGAGTTACCTACTTGAAATGAGGTGGGAAGAGTTGAGGTAGAGGATGATTTGTGATTGTAAATGAGGAGTGCTTCTGTTTTGTCATCATTAAGCTTCAACTTGCTGAGTGTCATCCAAGACTTGACATCATCAATGCACCCCCGCAAAGTCTGGACAGCGGAATCGACAAGAGATGGATGGGTATGCATGTATAGCTGTGTATCATCTGCAAATGACTGGTTCTCAACAGCATGCCTCCCGAGCAAGAGGAGTAGTGGTCTGGTATACATTATGAATAGAACCGGACCCAAAACGGACCCCTGTGGCACTCCGTACACCAAATCAGCACTGCCGGAGAGACAGCCATCGACAGAGACCATTTGCGTTCTATCAGAGAGGTAGGACCTAAACCAAGCCAAAACCGAACCAGAAATTCCAAAGTAGTTTTCAAGGGTTTTGAAAAGGATTTCATGGTCAACAGTGTCAAAGGCCGCACTGAGGTCTAAGAGGATCAAAATGGAGACATTACCGCTGTCCATTGCGCGCAAGAGGTCATTACTGACTCTCAAGAGAGCTGTCTCCGTGCTATGGAAATGTCTATAGGCCGACTGATTAGAACTGAGAAGAGAGTGATCATTTAAGTAAGCAAAAAGTTGTTTTAGGACTAGTTTTTCAATAACTTTAGATAAAAATGATAAGTTAGATACAGGTCTATAGTTTTTTAAATTATTTTCATCCAGACCGGGCTTCTTAAGCAATGGTTTGATGACAGCTGATTTGCAAAGAGGCGGAACAGTGCCAGAATATAAGCTTTCATTTATTATGCGGGTTATTGTTGGGAGCAAGATATCTAATGACTCAACCAACAGGGGGGTTGGGATGGGATCCAAATAACATGACGTATGTTTAGATTTTAGGATTATATTTTTTACCTCAAGTTCTGAAACAGGTTTAAAAATATTAAAATGGGAAGTAAGACAAGGGAAAGGAGGCAATTCAAGGGGAGGGGCATCAAGACGATCAAGCTCAGCTCGAATGTCAGCTACTTTGCTTGTAAAGAAATTACAGAAAATATCTGGTTGCTTGGGCAGGGGAAACACCGAAGGAAGCGCAGTTCCTTTGTTACTCCCCCTAAGGTGACCACAAACATCAAACAACTGCCTGCTGGTTTTACCCATAGTTATCTTTTGGCTAAAATACGTAGTCTTAGCACGACAAACAATCTGAGTGACACGCTTCTTGGCAGCGTAAAATATCTGCTTAAAAACCACAAGACCTGACCTTAACCACTTCTTTTCTGCACTACGGCGCTCTTTCTTGGCACTGCGTAGTTCCTCCTTGATGGTCGCATACCAGGGAGATGACCGCTTTAGACTAAAATTGCGGCGGGTGACAGGGGCGTGTCGGTCAACAACACATCACTCTAATCCTAATTATACTTAATTTTATTTAGATTTTTAAACTTGAAAATCAGCTAATTATTAATAAATGGTTGAGCTAAATCATTATGGAGCATTAATGTTTGCTCAAGGTATCTCTAAAACTCTATTGCATCTTTAAACCTGGTGCTACAGATTTTTTTTAAAAAAGTCTCTGGTATCAAGAAAGTAAATTAAACATGCTATATATAGAATCAGTACTTGGGGTTTAGAAAAAATCCTCCTACAGCGGGACCTCTTATTAATATTTTTTAAAATCATTCATATAAACTTCACTTTTGTTCTTGTGTTTCTTTGTGGCAAAATCTTCTGAAGACTAGTGGCCAACTTCCCGTCATCCTATCAAGCTGAAGCTTGGCTTATAGACTTGTTGCTGATGATAACATATTCTATGAAGTTTTCAGCTCAACCCCAAAAATAGCTTTTGTTCATGTGTTTCTTTGTGGAAAAATCTTCGGAAGGCTAATTGACCCACTTCCTATCATCCTTTCGAGCTGAAACTTGGCACTTAGACTCATTGCAGATGACAACTCATTCTTTCAAATTTTCAGCCCTAACCCCCAAAAATCAGTTTTTCCGTGCTTTGTATTTGTGATGTATTAGGGTATGGGAGATGACGCTGAGTGCAAACTAAAATGCATGTAAAGAATTTATTAGAAAAAACTTATTTTTATGGGTTGTTAAATTTGAACCCTATTTTATAGTCTGGTAAAGTCATGGATCCCCTCTGGTGACGCCCCAAATGATCTATTGAGCATAAAAACTCCACAAACATTTAATTTTAGTTTCATAATGATGAAACTTGTAAAATTTTGTTCTCATTCATGAACATCCTTTAAGTCATCCAAGAATTCCCAATTCTTATAAAAAAAAAAAAAAAAAAAAAAAAAAAAAAATATTTAATTTTAGTTTCAAAATAATGAAATTTTTAAAATTTTGTTCTCATTCATGAACATCCTTTAAGTCATCCAAAAATTCCCAATTCTTATAAAAAAAAAAAAAAAAAAAAAATAAAAAAAAAAGTCTCTTAAACATATCATAGAATTTCTGATAACATTACAAAGAAATGTGTAGGCCTATGGTCTATGATAATAGTTGAGGTTGGGTGAGTCTGCTGAAGGATACGATGTGTAGGCCTATAGTTGATGATGATAGTTGAGGTTGGGTGAGTCTGCTGAAGGATACGATGTGTAGGCCTATAGTTGATGATGATAGTTGACGTTGAGTGTCTCCTGCAGGTTACAAAAAGTGCATCCTTGTGGCCCATGACTGGGGAGCTGTGATAGCCTGGGCATTTGGCAGAAAGTATTCAGACATGGTGGACAAGCTGATCATCATGAATTGCCCATCAGGACCCCTCTTCAAGTCTGTCCTCAAGGAAAGCACAGCTCAATTCAAGAAGTCTTGGTAAGTTTACAATACACATTGTCGCGTGTGGGAGTTCATTAGTTATTGTTGCGACTGAATGAGTCACTGCGCGTGGTTTGTTTGAGAGCTGTTTAAGTAGTGAACCCTCTTCCCGCACTTAATTAACTTGGGGACAAATTATCTAGACTGATTGGTGATATAAGTTTGAATCCCGCGCCAGTGTTGAATGGAACTGTGTGGAGGTAGGGTGTATTATTTCGGGCTATAGCGAGCTGCGCTATCGATGCCTGTGTGCATGGAGTTTACAGCCTGTGTTAATAATATGATATTAAAGTTGCATTTATTATGATGAAGGACTTGAGTTATTCGATATTAGTAAGATGTAATCAACCTGTAAAAGAAACTGAAAGATTGACCAACCCATTAGAACAAGGAGTTGACATACATCAGAAGCCTGTCTTCTAACTGAAGCCAATTCAATCACATTATCAGATTATTTGCGCAATATAAAGCTAGGAAATGTCTTGTGGGTTGTTTGTTGTTGTTTTTTTTTTTTTGGGGGGGGGGGGGGATGAAATATGGGCTTATGTTGGTTATGGGGTGTTTACAACAGGTGGGAGAAGGCAGGTTTCAGGAGTCATAGAGTTTAACTACTCATCATTGTTACAGCTTGTCAGAGAAATTTGTTAGGATGCTACCAATGGATGAGAAAAGGCAGGATGACAATTATTCTATGAAAATTATATTTCGTAATAAATATTGACTTAAATTTGATTTTTTGAAACAACCCTTTTTTTAAAAAATCATGCCAGATTCATAAACTAATTCTATTTTCTGGAGTCACTCAGATTTTCCCAACTCCTAGGAGCATAAAATTTTAATTTAAAAAAAAAATATGTGGAATCTCTGTTTTTTATTTTTAGGACATTTTTTTATCAGTATAATTATCTTGTGTTATGCTCATATTTCAGGTACATGTTTTTCTTCCAACTTCCATGGCTACCTGAGTTTATTTTAAAAACAAATGACCTGGGAGCGTTTGATAGCATGGTGCCAAAGAAAGGCAGTTCAGAGAACTCGGGGGATGATGTATCAGCATACAAATACACCTTTTCTCAACCAGGTATATTTATCATAAAAGCTAAAAGTGTACCATTTATCCCCAAAAAAAGTTGTAAATTCTGAATGACTGCAGTAACATTATTTAACAGCTAAATATATGTTACCTGCCTAGGCAATATGGAAACTACTAGGACATTCCTTTAGGTTTGTGTTAATAATCGGGTTAGGGTGGGGGGTTAGGGTTAGGTTGGGGGTTTCCCCCTAATAACATGCATGAACAACCTAATGCAGCCATACTGAGATCAAGGAATCCAGAATACATAAAATGTTTTGTACATTAAAAAAAGGTCAAAGGTTGAGGAAATGACTTTTTAAAAATGTATTTTAATTAATGTTTTTGGATTGGGTTTAACCTAGTCAAAAAGAGTATCTGTTTTAGAGCTATCCATCCCAGTTTATCATTATCTAAAGACAAGTATTGCATTGCAAAACAATTCAAATTTAAAGGTAAATTTTATTCTTTTTGGGACAAAAATTATTAACAAAACAGTTAAGTAGTGAATAAAACTGAAACTATTTTTAAAGAAACTTTAAAAAAAAAAAACTTCTTTCTCTAAACAGGAGCTCTGACAGGACCAATGAACTACTACCGGGCATTCTTCAGGATTAAACCATCCACTGAACATGACCTGGACTACACGATGCCCACACTTCTCATCTGGGGTGAGAAGGACACAGCTCTAGACATGATACTTCCCAATACAATTGAAAAAATTGCACCAAAGGTTGAGGTGGTCAAAATACCAGACGCCAACCACTTTGTTCAAAATGATGCACCAGAAAAAGTCAACGAGATTATGAGACTGTGGCTTGACCAAAACTGATGGAATTTTCAGGAGGGACATTACATTAGTGTCCGGTATTTGTGTGTTTCATGATTGCTAAAAATGGTATTGATGATCAAGGACCCAGCTGGTGTAGATTAACAAGTAATTCCAAAACTTTATCTTACTGTTACCCATATTAATGTTTTATTTAATGTAATTAGGGCAACACAAAACCCTGCCCCACAGTCCATAAAATAGTATGAGCATATCAGATCAGCATATGTTAAGGTTATGGTTTCTGCTCTGCACTTTGAACTTGTCAACCTTCTGCCAGGGAACCTTTCATGTAATGCAGACTGTTATTGATTTTCTTATGGTTTGGAATAAACCCAACACTGTGGAAATTGAGCTGATCAGAAAGAGAGAGAAAGAGTGAGAGTTTTGGTTTAAGTATTAGTATGTAAACCAGCAAATATCCCAGGGACTTCCAAAGTTGACAATCTTTCTAAATCCATTTGCAATTTTTTTTCAAAAGACATCTTTTATTTAGAACAAAGTTTGTTTAACTCTTTGATTCTAACTGTAGACTTTTTATTTACTTTATGATAAACAAATGGTTGTGATATGTGTATCACCCCTGACACAGTCATGTCCACCACGCCTGACACAGTCATGTCCACCACGCCTGACACAGTCATGTCCACCACGCCTGACACAGTCATGTCCACCACGCCTGACACAGTCATGTCCACCACGCCTGACACAGTCATGTCCACCACGCCTGACACAGTCATGTCCATCACGCCTGACACAGTCATGTCCACCACGCCTGACACAGTCATGTCCACCACGCCTGACACAGTCATGTCCACCACGCCTGACACAGGTATGTCCATCACGCCTGACAGTCATGTCCACTCACAAAGCACACTTTATATGAGATGGCAATTCATTTGCTTGTTTATAGTCAAGTAAACATGCGACTTGTCGAAATATATTTTAGCTGTCTCCTTCCACGAAAAAAAGCTCTGCGGTTGGCTAAAAATGCCCCCCCCCCAGAATAAAGAAAAAAGTACCACCCGACGCAAACCGCCCCGTCCTCCCTATGTCACCGGTTGCAGTAGAAGGTTGTCTCTGGATTGTCTCATGGGCTTTGTTGGATAATAAAACAATGCCTCTAAGAAAAATGAAATTTTAATACAAAGAACAAGATGATATTGTTGATCTGATGCCCAAAAAAAAAATGACATTGTGAAGATGATTGCTACTATTTGACGATGGTTGTTATTATTTTTTGCTACTATTCGAAGATGATTGCTCCTATTGGAAGATGGTTGTTACTATTTGTTGCTACTATTTGAAGAGGTTTGTTACTATTGTGTGAAGTCCATTGTCCATCCCTCAATCACCATTATAATCAGTTATCATAAGCTTCAAGAACTTGTGTATACCTTGTTGCAATCTTTTTTTTCTTCCAGCAACTGACTTTTTTTTTTTGCTAAAGAATTCTTTATTAAAATTGAATTAATTTATTTACAAAATATATAATTCAAGTGATCAAAACACGCCCCTTGCCTTTATTTATTGTTGAATGCTGATTGTGTCAAACATGAATGGCATGCGTGTGTGAATGCCTTCAATTTTTTTTTCATCTATTGGTATTTTATATTAACTTCTGAAGGGTATCTCAGAGGGTGTCAAAACGTCAGTTTTTATTCAAAATACTTGTGTTCTCTAGGGCTACTTACAAAAAAAAAAAAAAAAAAAAAAAAAAAAAAATTTTTTTTTTTTTTTTTTGTGGGGGGGGGGTGGTGGGCGCGCATGAATTTGGGTCTAACCTCTTGTGAAGTTTTTGCTTGCAACCCCCCTCGTAGGCATCCAAGTTTTTTACAAATTTTTTTTGGTCATCTTCAGGGCCTTGTGTATGCCTAACTTAATTGTAAGTAATCTACTAATTTCTATACAGCTTAAGACACAAATAAAAGGATAACATTAGGAAAACAGAGGCTAGTTCAAAGAAGCTCCCTGGGTAGAGACATTAAATCACAACAGCCCCGATGTTACACATTTCTCAACTCGTGGCAGGCCTACCTTTGGTAAGCGAACCAAACACACAGCACAGGATCAAGATGTAGTCCAAAGAACGATTCGGTGTTTCATTGTGTATTTCAAACGGTTGGTTGTGCTGGGCTCAAAGTCCCATCTTACTTTATACTGCTGGGTCATTTCAAGTTGGAAGGGGTGGGGGTGGCTCCCAGCAGAATGTGTACACATATGTATTAAATACTACGCAGTAATTGAGTCTAATCCTAAAATTCCGAAAGTTTTTTTTTTATTAGAGAAACTTTGAACTCGCTAGATAGTAGATGTCATGACCACTCGTTTTTTGTTGTTGCTTTTTTCACATTCAAAACAGACATTTAAAATACAGGACGGTATACTTGATTTTTAATTCACCGCAAACAGTATCATTACTGCTATTCTAATCTATGCAGCAGCTACATAATGTACAAGATAAATAATGGGCTGGTCCACTGTTCCAGTATTAATCAGAAACTCGTCCCTCTCTTTCTACATAGACAGCGACGAGGCCATGACAGGCTCATACCAGCAAGAAGCCAGTATAGCCTACTGAGTATAGGAGCTGCTCATTCCTGCCCAAGACAATCAGGGACTGGAACAACCTTTCAAAAGGAACGGTTGAGGCGACAACACTAGACACATTTGTGTCTATTGCCTCAAGCCTTCAAACCCCTAGTGCATGATTCCCTCACAAAGTGGCACTGGAAATCAGTGAAATGTCCTCATCAACACCAGGCACAGAAACATTGCAAATCCCCTCTACATGCATAGGAGCCAAAATGATCAATAAATTGATCGTGGGCCCTTAATATATAGAAGAAGAATAAGACATCCGGTTTAATAAATACAACTGCTTCTGTAGACGCCATGAATTTTAAAAATCATTTTGGCACCATGGTCTCCAAAAAACAAACAAATATTTCTGGTCAGACAAATAACTCTGCATGTGAGGCACACTTAAAAAAAAAATTTGCGCGGTGTCAATTTGAATGAATGATATATTTTTGGCAATCCTCCGAACTCCGGTCCCAAATGTCAAAATAGTATTGAAATAGTATACTTAACGTTTGAAAATGCCGGGCGGACCTGATGATTGGTGATGTAATTATTATTGTCTGAATGAATAGAGTTGTCTGGCAGATTTACTAACTGCTTGTACTTGTACTAATAAATAATATAAAATATTGTCTGAATGAATAGAGTTGTCTGGCAGACTTACTAACTGCTTGTACTTGTACTAATAAATAATATTTTTTTTAAAAATAACAAAACCATGGCGGGCAAACCGCAAGCACTGGTTCATTTTTCAAATACTGCTTTGATAGGAAACATTCTGCAAGCATACGACACAGCGCCGAAGGAACTGTGCGACGGCATGCATGATAGCATTCTTTGGTTAGATAGAGTGTTTGCTGATAATTATTATTATTTTTTTTTTTTAAATTTAAAATATTTCTCATGGATTTTAAATTTATTGAGTTAGCAGCCGCTGGGCCACGATTTAAAAAAAAAACAAACAAAACACTCATCGCGCTATTCATGTCGAAGAATGTGAAGAGGATCTTAGGGAAACCATCAACACAAGAATCTGCGATGTTTCATCTGTCCAGTAAATCAGTAAAATTATGTATGCTATACATGTCTGCGCGCGTAGAAGAGATCGTGAGATGGGTTTTGAATGAAAGCCAGAAAGGCATCCATTTATGGACTTGTCAGCTATGAACTTAAATTTACAAACTTTACCATAGGCGCAGTGGCCTAGCTAGGGGTAGTGCCACCCGTGGTGTCACAAGCTTTTTGTCGCCCCCTTCCACGAAAAAACTTTTCAGTTGGCTGAAAATAAAATAAAAATTGCCGTCTGGGTGGCTCGCCCCTTGTGCTCCCGCCCCCCTCTTCCTACGCCAATGAATATGTGATTCTATGATAGTCTGGCACACGAATATTTGGGGGAAGTCCATGGGAGAACTGGGGGGGGGGGGATTAAGGGAGGAATGACATGGTGACACCAACCCTAGTCCCCCCCCTGCCCCCCTCCCATTTTTTTTTAAAGTTAAAAAGTAAAAGCGTTGCAACACGAATATTTGGGGGGAGGCCATGGGAGAACTGGGGGGGGGGGGATTAAGGGAGGAATGACATGGTGACACCAACCCTAGTCACCCCACTGCCCCACTCCCATTTTTTTTTAAAGTTAAAAAGTAAAAGCGTTGCAACAAGGTGATCTATCATTTATTTTTTTGTTTGTTGCTTTGTTAATTGTTTGTCGATTTGTTTGTTTATTTCATGAAATTGCTTGAATGAAACCTGTATGTTTCGTCATACTAGTGGCAACGATAAAGATTTTTAGCGAAAGTGGGATTTTTGCTTTTTGGGGAAGACAAGATTTAAAATACGATGTCCCCCCCATCAATTTAATTGATAACTAGCAGAGGCGGCGCCTTCGGTGGTATTTACTCTCATTTGATTTAACAGCATTGTTTTATGAATTGTATACAGCGTGGAAATTTGTACTTTTCATCCGCCACAACTGTGGGTACTTTGGAAAAAACGGTTGCCCTCCCTTGGTCTTGAAATTAATATTCAATAGTGATACGCTTCACAATGTTCAGACGTCAAAGTAAGTTGACACTCAGCACAATGTTCTCATGTCATGAGCAAAGCTGTCTTACGCATAACACTCGGCACAATGTTCTCATGTAGCCTAATGAGCAAAGCTGTCCTAAGCACCGCGCGCATGGAAGGCGTTCATCTGTTGTGCACCGATAGAAACTTACATTAAACGTTCGTGTCTTGATTTTTTAAAGAAATAAAATTAGCCAACCTCATGTTAGGAAAAACTGAGGATATCCGGATGTAAGCATTCCCTATGGCCCGAAATGCGGTTCTTCCACCCTACACAATATCATGAGCACATCTATTAAAAAGGCATTTCACACATCCTTCATAATCAACGACAACTCACCACTTGTGACACACTAGATCCAATTGCTGCAACTGACAATAGGGATATCTGATCTTTATAAAAATATGAATAGACTGTAAGCCTTCTATGCCATAGTCTTCATCCCTTGGCCAGGGGATTGGTTTTTTTTAAAATGTGGGGTTTGGTGGGGGAGGGAAGGTCAGTCCCTTAGTGACTGATGGATATCCTAATGAATTATTCAGTTGAATTTTAAGTGTGTTACAATTAGTTTTTTTTTTTTTTTTTTTTTTTTTTTTTGTGGGGGCGGATTTTTTTTGGCCCGGGGGGGGGGGTATTCTGATTAACTTCGCATTAGAAAAATGGGCAGTTTTAGGGGGAGGGGTTACACATTCCTCCACACACAACCATCCACCAAACACGCTACTTTTTTTGCACAGCAATCAGGTCAGCATAATTAGAAAATGCCACTGGGAACCCCCAAGGCCATCCTTCGTTTATTCACAAGAAGTACATTCAAATAAGCAGTAATCCTACACATAACGTTCGTTTATACACAAGAAGTACATTCAAATAAGCAGTAATCCTACACAACGATCGCCAAGACAACTGACGAGGCCGGACTTCTTTTTTCCCCCCTTTCTTTCCTTTTAGTTAGTTGACACAACACGGTTGAACAACCGGACAGCGCGTCCCTGTCACCTGCAACATATGGCGACAATCGTCAGGGCTGCACGAAGTTAGGGTGTCTGTGGCTACCAGAAACAAATGGTGACATAGCTCGTGGGAGGGTATGTCTGTGACTGTGGCTACCACCACCAACATGCCTACTTACTGCTGGTCGTACAGGAGGCTCACAAGTGTGTGTCTTGTAGTGTTTCTTCTAACAACTGTAGCACTTGTATGGATACAGGCGATATACGTAAGTAGGGCAACTAAAATTAATTGATAATTAAACGTGTAACACCTGCATTGGTAATGGTATTTCCGTGTGCTTTTTGTTTTTCTCTTTCAAATTAGTCAACATGTTGACAGTCTGAGCTCCATGCAAAAGTTAACATTGTTTCGTTGTTTTTGTTTTTATGAATTTGTTTTTAAATTATTTGTTTTTATTCCATTATTGTCTTGTTTTCTTTAGTCGCTTAAAATTAAAAATAAATAAAATAAATGATTGGTTTTGTTTTGGCTTGCGTGCTTGTTTTTTTTTTCCCTCCATGATTGTAAGCACAACAAATTAGAGATCGTTCCTAAGTCTAAGGACGATTCCCTCAAAGTGAAGAGGGGCGTCTTTTTTTTTTTGGGGGGGGGGGCGGGGGCGGGGGTGTTTGGCCTTGCGGACAACAATTTTTATTTTTATGCTGGTATTAGGCAAATGTTTTTATATATTTTAAAAAAAAATTGTGTACGTCTATCCATGCTAAATTGTTATGATCTTAAACCACAAGGAAATTAGTAAAAACCTCATGAGTGAGATCATTCTAAATCAGGCCTCGCGAAGTAACGAAATATTCTTTATTATAATGTTTTTTTCTTAATAGTTTTCATCCATCTCCTATTTTCTTTCGGCC